CAAGGCACATGGAAGTGTGTTTATCGGCTGTGATCTCTGATAGAGGGTGGCGCTGTCTGTTGTTTCTTTTGAATAGCGGCAGGTGGCGACTGTCCTTGATGATACCAAGCTTGCGCATGCAGGAGGCAATTCCGCCGCTGTGATCGCGGTGTGGATTGTTCTTCTTGAGAGGGTGCCTTGAGCAACACTCGATCATGAGTGGAGGCAAACTGTGCTGTGAGCACGATGACGATGTTGGGCACGCACACATGCGTGGATGAAGTCTATTTGATGCGAAACAGTGTTGTGTGTTGTTTCGAAAGAGAGCCATGCGCGCTGCATGCTGCCGATGGGCACGTGCTGCCATTGTATTTGTGTGTGTGTTGTGTTGTGTGTTGTGTGAGCAACGTTGCGTTGTTTGCACGCACACATATGCACATGCATGCACATGCAAAACAATGGTGGCGTGTGTTTTGTTGGCAGAGCAGGTTGTTGTCACTGGCACTCACTGGAAAACAGCACACATATTGTTAATCTGCATTGAATGACACTGCTTCATCCACACACCTTTGTGTGTGTGTGTCTGGGGTTGTTGTTGTGTGCACAGCCACAAGAACAAAACCAAAAAGAAAAACAGAACGACCCGAGTGGCACGTGCAGCGATGTGCGTGTTGCTTGTGGAAGCTTTGTTTGTTGGGGTGCAGGAGGAGTGAGTGAGCGATTGAGGGGAAGAAGAAGGGAAGACGCACAGCATTCATTGCATTGTTGTGTTTCTCTCCCTCTTCCCCTTTGCTTGTCTCGCTCTTGTCTCTTCTGAATCCTCGACAGCCATAGCCGGGCGACAGCTGTGGTGTGTCGTGCGTGCATTGTGTGCAATGTGGTGTGTTGTGTGTATTGTGTGTGTGCAATGTGTTTGGGCTTTACAACCTACACGCATTCACACGCATCTACACACACTCACACGCACACTTATACACACCACGAACAGCCACTCGCCTTCTATGGAGAGATAACTGGTCGATCCTGCCAGTAGTCATATGCTTGTCTCAAAGATTAAGCCATGCATGTCTAAGTATGAATAGTATTCTTGATACTGTGAAACTGCGAATGGCTCATTAAATCAGTTATAGTTTATTTGATAGTTTGCAACTCGTTTTTCGGAGCGGTGTTGTGCTAGACGGATAGCCGTGGTAATTCTAGAGCTAATACGTGCGACAAGGCCCGAGAGAGGGGTGTGTGTATGCGCATTTTTTCTTCTCGAGGGCTGCATTTGTTAGGTATAAAGCCAGCAGGAACATGACTGGTGAATCAGAATAACTTTGCTGACCGTTACACTTTTGTGTGTGATGGTGTCTCATTCGAATTTCTGCCCTATCAACTTTCGATGGTAAGGTATTGGCTTACCATGGTGACAACGGGTGACGGGGAACATTTGGTTCGATTCCGGAGAGGGAGCCTGAGAGACGGCTACCACTTCCAAGGAAGGCAGCAGGCGCGCAAATTACCCAATCCTGACACAGGGAGGTAGTGACAATAAATACCAATGCACGGTGTTTTTTATGCACTGTGCAATTGGAATGAGAACAATGTAAAGACCTTATCAAGGAACAATTGGAGGGCAAGTCTGGTGCCAGCAGCCGCGGTAATTCCAGCTCCAAAAGCGTATACTAAAGTTGTTGCAGTTAAAAAGCTCGTAGTTGGATTTCATGCGGGGTTCACGGTGTGTGGGTGGGGGTGAGACACTGTTTCACGCGCGCCTTCTTCTGCCCCGCACTGTTTGGACTCTGCAGTTTTAATATTCCCTGGTGGCGCCTTTGGCGCGTGCCCTTGATTGGGTGTGTGTCAAGTCACGTAGTGGTGGGGCGCTGTTGGGGGCTTTACTTTGAAAAAATTAGAGTGTCAAAGCAGGCAGTCATTTGATTTGCTTGAATAGATTAGCATGGAACAACGGAAGAGGACTTTTGGGCCTGTACTGTTGGCGTGTGGTGCGGGGTGTGTGGAAGAAGAAACCGCAAGGTTTTCTTATTCCTCCCTCACCACATCGGGTCTGAAGTAATGATTAATAGGGACGGTTGGGGGCACTGGTATTTCGTTGTCAGAGGTGAAATTCTTGGATTTACGAAAGACCGCCGACTGCGAAAGCATTTGCCAAGGACGCTTTCATTGATCAAGAACGAAAGTTAGGGGATCGAAGACGATTAGATACCGTCGTAGTCTTAACCATAAACGATGCCGGCCAGGGCTCGGTGGGCAGCACAAATGTTTCAACGCATGGTGGCGCCATCGGGACCTTTAGGGAAACCAAAGCGTTTGGGTTCCGGGGGGAGTATGATCGCAAGATTGAAACTTAAAGGAATTGACGGAAGGGCACCACCAGGAGTGGAGCCTGCGGCTTAATTTGACTCAACACGGGGAAACTCACCAGGTCCAGACATGGGAAGGATTGACAGATTGACAGCTCTTTCTTGATTCCAAGGGAGGTGGTGCATGGCCGTCCAGCTTTTGTTGTGAAATCTCTGTTTGATTACGGTAAACGGCGAGACCTTGACTTGCTGATTGGTGTGCGCCTGCGTTAGCAGGCGTTGGAGATTACGCGCAAGCGTGTCTTTTGATACACCACTCAGAGGGACACTCGGCGTTGCTATTGAGCGTAAGCCGAAGGAAGTTTGAGGCGATAACAGGTCTGTGATGCCCTTAGATGTTCTGGGCTGCACGCGCGCTACACTGACGGGGGCAGCGAGTATGCTTTGGGTGTTTGTGGTGGGGAAAGTCTTGTGCTTTTCTGCATTCACAAACATCTATTCCTGCGCTGGAAGGCGTGGGGACTCTTGTGAAAACCCGTCGTGCTGGGGATAGATGCTTGCAATTATTCATCTTGAACGAGGAATTCCTAGTAAGCGCAATTCAACAGATTGCGTTGATTACGTCCCTGCCCTTTGTACACACCGCCCGTCGCTACTACCGATTGAATGGTTTAGTGAGGCCTCGGGATTGGCGCGTGGGCGCTGGCAACAGCTGCCCATGTGTTTCTTTGCTGAGAACCTGGTCAAACTTGATCATTTAGAGGAAGTAAAAGTCGTAACAAGGTTTCCGTAGGTGAACCTGCGGAAGGATCATTCCAACAAGGAAAACGTTGAAAAGCGTGGTTGGTGAGGGATGGTGAGGGATGGTGAGGGATGGTGAGGGAAGGTGGAGACACTGGACTGAGCCAACCGAGCCAACCGAGCCAACCAAGCCAACCAAATCGCTCTCACACGCTTTTGTGTGCGGGAGTGAGCATTGTGTGAATGAAGACAACAACAAAGCAAAAGCATGTGCATGCGTGCATATGAGCATTGTGAGTGTCGCCGTGGAGCACATGT